AAAAAAAAAAAATGTGTTTAAGAGACCTGAAACCCAGCAAGCACACCATCCTGGCCTGGAAGTATGGCACAGTGGGAGTGAGGGGGAAGTAAGGAGCAGGGGAGGTGAACAGTGGAGAGAGAAGAGGAGGACGCACACAGGTAAGGGAGGGGAGGAGAGTAAAGGGGTAAAGGAGGTAGGAGGTAAGGGAGGGGAGGAAATAAAGGAGGCGAGGGAGAGTGAGAAGATCAGGTGAGGAAGGTGAGGAGATGAGGGGATTAGGGAGTGTCAGGAGGTGAGAAAGTACCCAGGTGAAGGAGATGAGGGAGGGTGAGGAGGTGAGAGAGTGAGGAAGGTGTAGAAAGTGAGGTATGTGAGGAGATAAGGGAAGTGAGCAAGTGAGGAAATATGAAGGTGAAGGGGGGTGAGAGAAAGTGACAGAGGATGAGGTGGGGTGGAGGGTGAGGGAAGTGAGGAGGTGAGGAAATGAGGGAGGTGAGGAGTCTGGAACATCTGGCCAGTTGTGGCTAAGCCTTCTTCTGACATGTGACTTCCCTGCAGGATCTGCTCTTTGGGCCCAAAGAAGAAACCTTGGGGCCCAGGAATAGAGAGTGGCAGATGTAAGGAAGGGAGGACTTCCCCTTGACCCACCAGTGGTGTGGGAAGGAGGCCAACCGGTGCCCTCCCATCTCAGCCATCCCTTCAACAAGGCAGGTTCCCCAGGCCTCGCAGGACAGGAGAAGCATGGACTCTCCAGACACCTCCTGGCCCTGGCCCTGTCCTCACCTCTCCACCGTCTCGCAGAACAGCACGATAACCTCCTGCTGCACATAGTACTCCCTGGGAGACTTCACGGGCACCATGGCCGAGACGTAGCTGTGAACACAGTGAGGTACGTTAGTGCTGTCCTTGGGCCACCCATGGACATCCCTAAAACAAAGGGTGTCTTAAATTAAAGCCAAAGAGAGACCAGCAGTTGGTGTAATGGTTATGTCGCTGGACTCCCATGTAGTTGACACGGTTTGAGTCCTGGATCTGGTGGCTTAAACTCATGCTGAGTGCATGTGCATGCACGCCCAAGATCCCAAGAGGAGAATGGAGGAGAAGGGATTGTGGCGTGGCCATCCCCTAGGGGGGTGATTTTTCACTTTCTGTCTCTTCATCTCTCTCTTTCTGGCGAGCACACACGCCCTATAGCAAAAAAAAAAAACTCTCAAAAAAAAAAATTAGAACCAAAGAAACGATAAGTAACTAGCCTGATTTGATCATTCTACAATGTTCATATGTATCAAAACATCACATTGGGGGCTGGCAGGTGGCATAGTGGTTAAGGTGCTGGACTCCCACATAGCCAACCATGGTTCAAATCCCGGACCTGATGGCTTGACACTCATGCCGGGCATGTGTGCATGTGTGCCCAAAACCCTGAGAAGAGAATAGAGAAGGGATTGCGGCCTGGCCATCCCCATTCAGGGGTGATTTCTCATTTTCTCTCTCTCTGTCTCTCTGGTAAGCACATATGTCCTATAGCAAAAAGCTCTCAAAAAACTTTTTTAATCAAAACATCATATTATACCCCATAAACATATGCAATTACTGTTTTCAATTAAAAATAAAATAGAACTTTAAAAAAACTAGATTACTTTGACTACAATGCTCCCTGTTATGTAAGTTTCACAAACACATAGCTCCCAGATTTATGCCTGATATTTTCAAACCTCCTGTCAGGGCAGACCTAGCCCAGGGCCTCCTTGCTCTCCCTTACCCCACCCCTACACATCTTGTTGCCTATCTGCCCTGACTACCCCAGAACCCACTGACGTGACTGCCCTCCCGCATCAGCCCCAGCCCTACCAAACAAGAGCGTGAACGGATACATGTATGCACGGTGGGTAAACAACCTCAGGACCCCATCCTCATAAGCCAGCCCAGGTCAGGCTCAGGAGCTCACACGATAGCTGAGTGACTGTTAGAAAGTGACAGTTCCTCCAAAAATTTCCCAGGTAAGGACATTTTCTTTCCTTCTAAATCACGAACACTGGCTTTTTCTTGATATGAAAAGCTTACTAGGAGATCTGAGGCCAGCTCTGTGGCACAGCAGTACACTGCTCAGGGAAGCTGGATCCCACATAGCAACTGTGGTTTGGATCCCCAATGGGTCAGCCTAAGACACGTAGGCAGGCACGTGAGTGCCCAGGGCCTCACAAACTGTAGGACTGCAAGAAAGAGATAGGGCAAGACTAGACCCTCTCTCCTACCCCCAGTCATTCTGTCATGTGCACATGCATGTACTATATCATGAATAAAGGAAAAAAATGAAAATACAGAAAGATAGAAGAAACAAAACAATTATCCTCACTCTCACTT